AAAGCAGGTAAGCGTAGACTTTTTAATATATTCAAAAAGAATTCTGTTTTTCAGGTGAACAGGTGATTCTTTTTCTTTCCACCTCCACAAGGAAAGCAGAGCAACTAAGTCTCGACCAAAGGTGTTTCTCAGGCTGCTGGTTTATGGCAACCTGGGCTGACCTGATTGTATATGCTGCTGTCTTGCCCTCTATCTGCTCCCTTTGCCCCTGAGCCACCAATTTCCATCCCCTCCATTGTGCCTGCTCTGGCACTTCTCAGACCCTTCAACAGGCCTTCTAATATCAGTAACAAGGGAGGGAGTGCACTGAAGCATCTCAAAAAAAATATCAGTGAGTGCTGTAGCTGGCATTCTGAGTAAGAATGGGTGGCTGTTATGGAGGTGGTGTGGATGGCCACAGTCAGTTCTTCTCTTGTGGCTCCATGGCAGCCTAAATTTTAACTGTTTTCAGAGGGAAGAAAGGGGAGAATTTCAAGTAGTTGCTTAGATCCTGTTGTTCTCCTTTCATGTCAGCTTCTCCAGAATAAGTATCTTCAGGCTGTGTTCTAGCACCAAAAATCAAGTTCAAAGCTTTAGCTGGTAAAGTGAAAACATTGCCAGTAATACAGAAAGGGAGTAGCAGGTTTCTTCTAAAAAATCTGGCTTTGCTCAGGTACAGTTATTTTAGTGTTCTTAACCTGTTCCTTATGACCTCACTACTGAAGTCCTGTTCCTTGAGAAAATCCTGCATTTTTTTTTCCTTTAGAAACATTGCCTATCTGAAACTAGTCTGTAGGGACCTCTGTCTTTTTCTTCTATATTTACTCTAAGGACAAATAGCATAAGAAAACTGTGTAAAATGGCAAAATCTTTGACTCTTGACAGCTTATCTGGGACCTTGGTGCTTGGTTACTCAGTCATGCTGGAGAAGCATTCTTTTGCATCATGATCTTGGCACTTTGTACTCTGATGGAAACAGTTTATTGAGCTATAGTGACCTGTGTTGTGATAGAACTGCTTTCATAGATGGATTAATGTTTAAAGAATTAAACTCTTCAGGAAACTTAATACCTTTAAAAAAAGCAAAGTGTGGTGCTTTAAACATAGAAAATAACTAATCAGGTAAGACGGATCCTATCTTCTGATCCTTATACGTATTTTAGATGCTACAAAGCTGCTACCATTTGGAAATAGAGAAGAACAGGGAGGGGGATCTGGTTTGGCAAATGCTATTGGATGTAAAGACGCTTTTATTACCTTTTTGGCAGTTAATCTCACCAGCTAGTCAGAGGAACTGCTCTGCAGCTGTCCTGACTTTATGAAAGCTTTGCAAGCATTTAGTTAGGCAAACTTTGTAGCCTGCTAGGATCTTCTTGATGAGACACATTTGAAGAGTTTGCACTTCTGGAATTCTTTTGGGACAAATTGTTTGCTGTTTCTACAAGCAGCTCTTTAGCCAAAATGATTCATAAGAGACCTTGACTTAGACTCTCAAAACATCATGAGGTTCCCGTCAAAAAACCAGAAACAATAACCCAATGTCCTTTCACAGAAGAATTTCAAAATAGCGTGATGTTAGTGGCTACATGTTTATTTCAAGTGTGTGCATGACTCTTAAGAACTTGAAACACCTGGCCTTATTTATTCTTAAGTAACTCAAATTTATTTTAAAATGTCTCATGGAAAACCTGGGACACCGAGAGGAAGAAAGCTGACTCTAAAATTATTTTAAATCCAGAAATGCATACATCTGTGTACAGACATGTAGAGAAGGATGTAAAGAATAAATGAAGGCTATATTAGTGATTAGTGATTTATTTCTGAGTTAAATGTTGATAATATTTCAAAAAGTTGGAACAAAAATGGTCTAGAATGTGAAATACCAGAAGGGAAGCCATGGTACCTTATATCCAAAAAAACCAAGAGCAACAACAACTCTCCTTCCTCTCTCCTCCCTTGCCCAAATCACCAGGGGTGTGTGTGTGGGGGTGTGTGTGTGTGAAGAGTAAGGGGAAACAACTGTGTGGTCATCACTACTGTTCTGGGTATGCTTTCTTGTTTTAAAAAGACAGTAATACTGAAAATGAAACATCTCTTCAGGGATTTATAGTAGTAGGTAGTATGGGCCCCAAGACTTTCCTGTAACTTGCCTGCTCTCTCTAGTTTCAGAGATGCATGAAGGGACAGTTCGTAGCAGCAGCCGTGGTAGTAGTGGTGTGAAAGCTTGTTTGCCATAGAGTCCTCTGGAAGATGTTTCCAAGAAGTTTTGATCTACATATTTAAATAGAGTCAAATAACTTAATAGTTACATTGATTGAAAAGAGTTTGCCTAGCAAAAAAAAGAGTATTGATTTTTGATAGGAACATTCTTAAAATACTGATGCTCATAAATTGTTTTAGTAATTCTAAAATGTAGTTGTGAATTAAGACTATTTTTATGTCTATACATTTTAGCCTGAGGAAAGATGACTAAGTACTGAATATAACCTGCTGTGATTTAATTTTCAGATGAGCAAGAGGATGAAGATGCCATCGTTAACAGAATATCGTATGTATAGCTCTTTTTTGCAGATTGTTTTTTCCCGAATATATTGTTATGATAGCAATCTTGTATGTGTCCAAGTAAACAATAGTTCATTCTAAAGAAGACAGCAAATAAATTGATAGAGGACAGAGGAAAAAGGTTTGATCAAGTGGCACCTTATATTATGAAAGGCATGACAAGAGGCAAGGCAGTTTGGTCTAGGGCTTTTTTGACCTGTGGTATTCCTGGTAGTACTGAAGTTGGCCAGAATCTTGCATGAGGACCTGATGCAAGAGGTGGAATTCAGTGCCAGACCTTCATCTAAGTTTAGATCTCTAAAACGTAGGTGTTTATATGGGAAGTAGGTGTTTAAGTTCCCACTGCAGTTGATGGAAGTCCTGTCAAGGGAGGCAACGGATCCTGGAAAGCAAGTTAGCTCACCCTGAATAGACAACTGTGTTTGATCATCTTAAAAAAAGCTTAAAAAAGAATAACAAATGGAAGATAAACACTTGCCAGACCTGCTGGTCTGCCAGCAACTCTCTCTCTCTCCTCTTCCTGTTCCTTTGTAAAGCTAGATATTAATCTCTCCTATTTAAATAAGTCTGAAGACTTACAGAACATCTGTGAGCTGTTGCTGCCCTCTCAGTTACGTGATTTGCTAAACTATGTGGACTTGCTACTTGCATAGTACAACATTCTTAGCTCTTCCCTGGCAGCACTGTCATCCTCTTGGAAGGAGAGCTCATTGAGTGTTTTATTGATTTGTCTTGTACCCTGGGAAAGTGCTGAGTACATTGCAAGCTTTTCACTTTTAGTTGTGCATTTGTGGCAAGCTTGAAAGATGTACAAAGACGATGTAAATCCTAGGCATGCTTCTCCCAGTAGTGTCTGATACCAATATTTTTTACGAATTTGAAATGCTTATTTGACACAAGGTCTACTTCAGATCTAGAGAGAGAAAAATGCATACTTTTAAATGCTATGAAGTTCTTCCCTCTCAAGTAGAGGAGCATCTCTCCTGTGCTTTTAAGGGTACAATGAAGGCTCTTCTAGACTGAATGATTTTCATAGGAGCTGCCGTCTTAGCCTGGTTCTGAATTTTTCAACATTCAAAGAGTAAAATTTGTCTTGTTAACTGTTATTCCCCCTGCACCTATTTTCTAGTTTAGCTCTAAAATACAGCAAATATAAATTGTAAATACTGTGTTCTTCAGTTGAAAACTGTAAGACAAGATTAGCACTTCCGTCAGAGTAATAGCCTTCATTAAAAGTGTTGTTATAAATATAAAATGCTTCTTGTTCTTTTAGCCTAAGCTTTCTTGTTCCTTAAGTGTGCATGTTATTTTCCAAAAAGCAATAACTGTCAAACATATACAGATTGATATTTCTTTGCATAGTGTAATTGTCAGGACTTAATAGGTGGGTGTGGGGAGAAAACAAAACCAAACTGCTGTAGCACCTTGAAAGGCTGTAGTGTGTTAGGCTTCACAGTTCTGGCTTAGAATACTTTAAACATCCTTAAATAAAAGAAAAAAATACCTCTGAAACCAACAACAAAACCATATAAGAATATATTTTTTTAAATAAATTAGTTGCCCAGACTTTCTTCTGTAAATTAAGTATTGTGTGAATGAAGAATGGATTTGTAGACCGTTAAGGAAAAGTAAGATCTCTGTAAGCAGCTTACTGACATTCCTGTTGTAGGAATGGTCTATTCAAGTTTATCTTCCTTGTCATGCAAATTTGAGAATTATTTCTAACTATTCTAGCATTGGATTAGTTCTGTAAGAATGTTTTTGTTGGTTTTATTTTTTTTAACAATACAGTTCTTTTTAATGCCACAAGATGGCATTTGATATAAGTTGTATTTAGGATCTGAATCTAATAAGCTTAAACATTTCAAATAATTCTGACAGTTTCTCTGTATTGACTTTACAGCTATTGGAAAACCCCAAGCTATGAGATAATATTTGACTAGCTACTTTGTTAAAGAAAAGCAATATATTTTTTTCAGTTTTAGACCTTAAAAAGCTGCTCTGCTTTTAAAAATTGTAGTAAGAATATAGAAATGGAAATTTTTTTCATTCTGAGTGCTTGGGAAATGAAAACTAAAATGGGAGACTTTTTCAAAAGATACTCCATGAACTCCAATAATTTATCCTGTGTATGACATTGGAATTGAATGTGTGCAAGTCCAAGGAGAATAATTGTGGTACCTGGTAAAAATGAACTATTTTTACTGGATTCTGTAAACTACTTGGTATTTGAAAATTGCTTTTTGGAAGTGAAATTATTGTGGAAATCAGTTGCTGCTGCCCCTTTACAATGTAAGAATGGGTTGCCTTCGGACACTGATTAATAGGTAGGCTAACTACTTTTTTTTCCCCTGTTCAGAGCATATTGGTGGTAACAGTGGTACATTTCTTTAAATTTCAGGCTATTCTTGAGCACCTTCACTCTAGCAGTTTCAGCTGGTGCAGTCCTGCTTCTACCTTTCTCAATAATCAGCAATGAGATCCTGCTTTCTTTTCCACAAAACTACTATATTCAGTGGTTAAATGGCTCACTAATTCATGGTTAGTACTCAGCATAATGTAATTAAAATGGATGTCTTCATTATAAGTGCACAGATATGTTCTTATTTTCAAACTAATAACTCCATTTTTATTTAAGATGCTAATTTGATTGTTAATATGTTGTTGGCTAGTTGTTTTTGCTGCTGTGTGGTACATCACAAAAGCCTGTTTTTACTGTTCTGTTGGGGTTTTTAAAGAATTATGTGGACTTGCTGGAATTAAACCAAGTTCACTGCTTTGAATATTAATTTAGAATAAGAGCTACTAGAAGCTAACTTGAAAACCCACTGTTCAGACTTCTTCCTTGTGTGTTAATGTGAGATACATAAGCCTGTCTGTTTATGATGATACATATAAGTGTATTCTCAAAATAAAAAAATTTGTTTTAAGCAACTTGCTAGCTATGAGTAGTTGGGATTAGTTAAATTCAACTGTTAGCGATTTATTTGTATTCTATAATTTTCCTTGTTTACGAGTGTATTCAGTGTGGTAAAGAGGCACAGTAAAAATGAACTATTTGAAGGAAAACAACATGCAAGAAAAGCGTATTACTTGTGCTTGCAGCGGTGATGCCTTGATGTCCGGCAGAGTGAGTTTTGCACTTAACGGTGCTGTCCTTTTTCTGTTCTTGTGAAGAGATAGTAGTGGAGCTTTGGAGGATTTTTCTCTGAAAAATATACTCTTTTTGCTAAATGTCTAATAATACTCACAGATGGCAAAATCATGAATTCCAGATCCAAATATTTTTTAATATAAATTAAACGTGGATAGGTGAAGGCAGGAAATAATGCATATTGTCTGTCATCTTTCTGAAACTAGTTGAGTATTTTTTGTGTTTTCTGGACAGTAAGAGAATTTTTTTTTTAAGCCCTTGAATAAAGAGGAGCTGACTGTAGGTGTGGTGGTCAGTGATGACCCTGACTGTGGTGACAGAATAATTTCAGACCCGAGAAAAGTGAGGAAGGAAAATAGTAGAATAAAGACATTAGATTTTATGAGAGTAGCTTTGTCCTCTTCAGGAAATGTGTGTATGGGACCTCACTGGAGAATGTCCTGAAGGCAAAGGAAGCAGGGGAGATGCTTACTTTCAAGGATAACCGTCAAGCACCATAATGTGCGCCTCAGCGTGCAGGAGAATGAGCAGGTGTAATAGGAGGTTGACTTGGCTTAATGGGGAACTTGTGAGCTCAAAACCAAAAAGGAAGTGTACAGAAGGCAGAAGTAGGGATGAACTTCCCAGGAAGGGTGTAGAAATACCACCTGAGTTAATATCCTGGTGTGAAATTAGGCAAGCCAGGGCACAGCTGGATTTGCAACGGGTGAGGGGTTGGTATAGAGCCAGCTTCTTCTCAGGGGTGTGCAATGAGAGGCAACAAACAATGTTTGCAGGACATAAAGCAAGAATTCTTCACAGTGGGGATGGTTGAGCACTGGAAAAGATTGTCCAGAGAGACTGGAGATCTAAATCCTTGGAAGTTTTCCAAAACTCAGCTGGTTAAAGCCCTGAGCAACCTGATTGCACCTGTAGTTTAGCTGTTTTAAGTAGCAGATCAGACTACATGACTCTAGAGATTCTTTCTAGTTGAGTTATTCTGTGATGTGTTTTGTCACGCATCACGGGGGATTGCTAATTTGGTATGTCTCCTACGTGGAAGAAAAACCCCCAGCTAATTCTCATTTTTCACATGGGTTTAGGTGCTCAGACAGATTTATATTCTTTATTCCCAAGCATGAAAAAAATACTCAGTGGAAAATAATGCTTCCTTCTGTGTCTGAATTGACTTTGGAAAAACTACAATAAAATATTTTGGAGTGAAAATTATAACAAATTCAGAAATTTCCACCATCAGAGTTGCTACAGTGCTTGAGAAAACTTGGGTTAATTAGAAATCTGCTGGAAAATTAGCTGTCACATAGGAATGCCTTTGAGTTTTCCAGTGACCATCGTCTTTTGCTTTTAATGTGATAAATCTTTTGAAAGTACCACTTTATGCATCCACAGTATAATTTGTATTTTGTAAGTCTGACAGTAATGGCTATCAAGGAAGTAAATTCAGCATCGTGGTGTTTCCAAGTTGGACTGTGCATTGCAAAGCTTACGCTAGGGGTAGACCTGACTGACCTAAACCAAGATTTGCCACAGCTGGTGTGAAGACTTCAGAGATATCAGTAGATTTTGGATCCGACTACAGGCTTCTGTTAACTGCAACTTGACAAAAATCAGTGTACTGCATTTCAAAACGTTACCTTGGGGGAGGACTCCCTCTTGTGGTGTTCACGAGGTTTGCACAATAGCGTTGCACTGCTCTGGAAAACCTATGCCGTGTAGTGGCATAGCTTTTTGAAGTTAGTTATGAAATAACTGTGCAAGTTTCGAGAGCTGATCATGCTATCACAAGCACTCAGATCCAGAAAATGTTCATGTTTCTATAGCAGTGTGTCTAGCTTAGCCTTCATGTATGGGCTGCTTACTGCTTTGCAAATGTTATTAAATAGGAAAGTTTGTATTGCTTTAAAACACTTTGGTTTTGCTAGATTTATCAGTTATGGATACAGACCAAGGTACTTGGATGTAACATTAAGGGGTTTTGTACTGTAGGCTGTTGCATTAGTTGTGGCATATAGAAAAACAGAAAATATATGCCTCTGATTTTTGAAACTAGGCAGAAAGCCCATACCTGGATTCAGTATAAACACTCCTACCTAATGCATGGTGAACTAAACCCAGAAGCACTTGTGACAGCTGGATGTTTACTTGTGCTGTTGTTGGGTGCAACCACCAGGTGGGGGTAAAATGTAATGAAAGTACTGTGAATAATGTAATGAAAGTGCTGGGAATAAGAAAGGTGAAAAATTGCTCAGGGTCTGATCTGTTTGACAAAGACCGAGAGGTTTTTAATTTTTATGTTTTATGAGTTTGTTTTATGAGGGATATTCTTAGGTTGCTACAAATGCAAAAAAAAAAATCAAAATGTTCCAATAGACTGCTTAAAGCTTTTGTATACGTTGATATCTGCAAGTCTCTCTCATGCAATTTGGTGATGCAGTCAGTGTAGTAGGAAATAATTCTTTTTCTGAGTATTTTAATTTCACTTCTGAACTATCAAATTAGGATAAGAAATACAGTAGGGGAAGGAGAGGGCCCTGTACGTCCCTTACTTTGAGGAAAGTGTATACGTATGTCAGCAGCAGTACAGCTCTGTCCTTACCGCTCATAACTTCCCATGCATGTTGTAGCACTTTAGTTTAATATTCTGTAAATGTGGTTCCTATCAGCTGCTAATGTGTAATTTTTTTTGGATTTTAATTAAAAATCACCCCAGATGTACACTGCTCTCCCCTCTCTTAAAATGCTCTGTACACACTATGTGGCTCCTAACACTGATTTATATTGTAAATACATGTGTAATAGAGCTGCTGAATTAGGACAACCAGATATTCAGCTTTACTTCAGGTAACCGAGTGCACTATCTGTCTTCAGTTAAAGAAAACAACTGAAATAAGACCCCCATCCCAATGTAGTAGTATTTCTACTCTTAACACTGGTGTCTTCATTTTCTGAAAAAAAAGAAAAAAAAAAAGTACACAGACTCCTTGAGTTAATGTACCTCTAGTAAGGGCTGTTAATGACATTCTTGCTGATGTTGCTATGTGTGAATGTTCCTTGAATGGTAACAGGAGCTTCCTGGCTAAGCAAATTCAAAAGGAAAAATCCCCCTCTTTGTTAACTGGAGTTTAGCCACCTTTAGGCAGTCTGTTTTCTTTAGCAATTGAGTATTATATTTCACGCATCTTTTGGAATTTTCTTAGTTTGTTTTCTGTCGTTTATTTGGCTGAGTTTGGGTCTTGGTGTCCTGGTGCTATTGATTGCTGAAGTAGTAGGTGAAGATAACTGCTAATTATTCTACATTTGGAACTAAATACAGGAATTTCTCTCAATAATGAATTTCCCAGACATGCAGTAAATGTCTCTTTCCTTCCCTATCATTTCCCAAACGGAAATTTCAAAGAAAATGAACAAGCCTGTACGTGAGAAGAAAGAAATAAACCAGGCTGTTAGTTTAGATGTTCTTATCATGGGGGATGTTCTTTTTTGGATTTCAGGTGATATAATACAGTTCTCCAAAATTGTGGAAATGTGTTTTGGGGAAGGTGGGGGACTAAGCCTGTTTTTCTCAACTACCAAATAAAAGCTGTGTTTTCAGGGTGCAGAACATGTGACACTAGTTAAACCTGTTAGCTATGCTAGTACTAGACTACAGGTAAACTTCTGCTTTTATAAAGAAGAAACTGCATCCTGCACAACCTCTGATCAGATGATGATGGGTTCATGTTTATGTGCCAGAAAGTAGCTGTTAAGAAAGCGTTCGGCTTAGAAAACCTTAATAGAGCAGATGCCCTTAATGGAGATCAGTTATCACTTCAGGTTGTTCTCTAAACCTTTTTCCTTCCTGCAGATGTCACATGTGTCTTACAGATGTCCTAGTTTTAGTCTTGATTTTTTTCACCTAGATCACAGAATGATTGAGGTTGGAAGGGACCTCTGGAAATCGTTTAGTCTGACCCCCCTGCTCGAAGCAGGGTCAGTTAGAGAAGGCTGGTCAAGGCAGCGCCCAGTTGGGTTTTGAAGATGTCGAAGGATGGAGATTACAAAACCTCTTTGGACAGCCTGTTGCTGCGTTTGGCTGCACTCACAGTGGGAAAAGTTTTTGCTTATGGGTTTTTTTTATACATTTAAGCTGGTTTTCTTTGTTTTCCATTTGTGCCTCTTCTCCATTCACTGGATACCACTGTTAAGAGTCCGACTCAGTTTCCCTTTCCCCTTCCCTCAGATATTTATATACGCTGATAAAGTCCTCGCTTCTCAAGGCCAAACAATTCCAGCTTTCTTAGCCTCTGCTTGTGTGACAGATGCTCCAATCCATTAATCATCTTTGTAGTCCTTTGCTGGACTCACTCCAGTATGGCCATGTCTGTCTTGTATGGAGGAGCCCACACCT